TTATTATAATATAAAAATAAAAATTTAATCGTTTACGAACGACTCAAGCCATACACGCATGTTGAGAAATCAAAAATATTTTAAATGCGATATCTGACAAAGTGTGATAAGAAGACGTTAAATGTAAAAATAATAATAATAATAATAAATAGAATCATTTTTTGTTTATTATAATATTGATTATTTTTATTTTTTTTTTCTTCTTTATTTTCAAAAATAAAAAAAAAAAAAATTTATCACGAATTCATCCAACAAATAAAAAAATTTAAATAACAAAAAAAAAGTTTAAGCTAATACTGAATAGTTAAAATAATAATAATAATATTAAATATAATAAATATACGATAATGATATTGTATTGATAAACAACGGATTAAATACCAAAAAAAAAAAAAAATGAGTGTTTGTTTACATATATATTTTTACTACCGTTTTTATTTGCGAATCGCGAATCCAATGAACTTTGACCCTGTTAAAAAAAAAATACGTTTGAAAAAATAGGATGATGATGATGTAAAAGGTTCATTGGAATCTCTCTAATCGATATTTTGATTGTCACTCGAAGAAAGCAATGAGAAACGCCATGACACCAATACCGAAAAAAAGTGAACCCATTTGTTTGCAACTTTCCGATTTCGATTCTTCTTCCACGAGTTCGGGAAGAACCGTTACTAAAGCTATGTGAAGAAATCCTCCAGCCGTGAATGGTAGTATCCATGATGTTATGGATTGAGACGAACCGTATAAAACGGCAAACATTGATCCCAGGATACCGGCTAAAGCCGTGCATATTTGAGCTTTGGCCGCGTCCCGCCGCGAAAATCCAGACCTGAAAAAAAAAAAGAAAAAATACCTGCAAATACTCCGCGTGAGTATCCCTTTTCCCCCCTCCCCATTTACCATCCGTCCGGAAAATTATTAGGAAACATTCGACGACGACGCGATTCCCCCTCTAAATGCTAATAATAATTTAAACAACATCATCGTCGTTAATTAAAAATTTAAATTTCCGAACGTAAATGCGGAATTGCCAATTTTAACCGAGTCAAAATTTAAAATAATAATAATAATAATAATAATGATAATAAATAAACGATTTCACCATTTTTTTTCTTTTTTTTTTTTTTTTTTTTTTTGAATTTTTAATTAACGAATAAAAACGAGTTCGCATATCGATGGTTTGTTTTTAACTTTCATTCTTTCAGAATAAAATAATTTTTCTACATGAAAAAAAAAAAAAGGGTCAAAGGTTAAGTAAATAAATGATTTAACAAAAAAATGAAAAATTTGTTTTTTTTCGTAATCCACCACCAACACGTGATCATTATCATTATGATAAGTGTCTGTAGATGTTAAATCACTGATAAGACAAGAGCAAAAATATTATAAATCACGCTATATATAAATAATAATAATAATAATTATTATTATTATTATTATTAAATAAATATTATTAATTAAATAAAAAAAATATTTTTTTTTCACTCACTTTAATAATATGGCAAAATCTCCGATTTCGTGGGGTAACTCGTGTATTAAAATGGCAAAAGTCGACAGGACGCCCATTTTGAAAGAAATGGAAAAAGAACCGCCGATGGCTAAACCGTGTGTGAAATTATCCACGGAATTTGCCATCAAATTAAGGTATCCGCTTATGTGATAATGATTTTCCGTTTCCGGTTTGTTCCTAACGATTCCGTTGCACGACAAACTCTTGTCGCTGCTGCTGTTGTTGTTGTTGTTGTTGTTTGTGCACGATTGCGAACTATTCTTTTCCGTTCTCACCACCTTAACTTTATTTTTTATTATTATTTTTTCTTTATCGTTTTCACCGCCTTCTTCTAATTTTAAACTCGATGATATTTTTTCAACTATGACGAAAACTAACATTCCGACAAGGACCCAAACACCGCTGAACAAGGACGGATGAGAATGATCATCTGAAAATTAATTAATTTTTTTTTTTCTCGAAAAAAGGTTCACATTTCATCAATATTATTATTATTATTTAAATCAGTCTGTATGATGATGATGATGATGATTCAAAATCAATAATACATTTTTTAAAAAAAAAGGTTTTATCGATTCTAACCTTTTCCGGTTTTGTTAATTAATTAATTAATTAATTAATAATGAAAATTAATTCGAATGACGTACATCATCATTTTCAACGGTTAAAAAAAAAGGAATTTTAATGCCATGTGTGACCCGTGTAATCATAATAATAATAATAATTAAAACGGAAGGAATAAAATTTCATTTTAATACATTTCAATAACGATAATCGAATAACTATCGAGAACAATCGAAATAATCGAAAAAGGACTCAACCGTTTTTAAATTAAATTCGAAAAGGATTCACAAATTCGAACAAAGCAATTTTTTGAATGAGGACCTCCATGTAAGGAATAATAATAATAATAATGATAATAATACTAACGTTTGCATGTAAATTTTTAATCGAGTGTAAAGTACGTCGTTATTTCTCAAAGAATTTGTGCAAAAAAAAAAAAAAAAAAAAAAAATTACTACGCAAAACGTACATGGAAAAAGAATGAGTCAGATTATAAATAACCGAAAACCTTGGATTTTGCAGTCAACAATCTTTTGTTCGAACCGAGAGTAATAATATTATTATTATTATTTTTTGCTCGATTCGAAAAACGTTTTTGCCACCGTTAACGAGTTAAAAATGAATTTTTTTTTGTAAATTTAAATTTTTTTTTTTTTTATTATTCAAATGTTTTCGCGTAATGAGATCCTATTGATTGAAGAAAACGACTTCTGCACTCTTTTTTTTGTCCTTTGTTTTCGTCGTCTTTTGTGAACGTCTCAAATTTTATCATTATTATTATTTTTTAATAATAATTACCTTTTCCTCCTCCACCTGATTTTAATCCATTTTCCCATGCTTCGGGTAACAAATGTAAAAATACATCACCCAATAAACCTCCGACAGCAAAACTTAAAAGAATTCTCAGTCTGTTTGCTCCGGCTGGAAAAAAAACACAAAAAAAAATTATTATTATTATTATTATTTGAGTGAAATTTCCAAACGATTAATTTTTCCAATAAATTTTCCTTTTATCGTCTCACATACATACATAAATAAGTCTCATCGCAAAATACAATAAATAAATAAAAAACTTCGAAAAATTATTATTTGTTGTTCAACAATAAATTTAATAATCGATACTTTCACCTCACAATTAAATTTATTGAATCCCCTTCGGGGTAAATCAAACGGTTAAGAAGAGTTCAATTGTTTCATAAACCAGTATTGGTTACTATTCTTTGGGGAGGGGGGGGGGGCTGACACAAAAAAAATATTTATTTCATTCAAAATTAAATTTTTGTTAGATCATTATTTCGAAATTGTTAAAAACTATCGAAGATCCTTTTCCATGTTTTTACTTTTCGTCGTGGTAAAATTGCACCTTTACCCCCCCCCCCTTGAGTTTATCATCATTATTATTATTATTATCATAATTTGCGTAAAAAAATCCACGTGTTAAATTATTATTATTAGAGCGTTTTATGTTAATAAAAAAATAATAACGGTCTGACGTAAAGAAAATTTCCTATTTTATTTATTTTTTTTTTTTCATCAATCGCAACTCAAATAATTACTCAAACACGTGATTACATACATACATACACGTGTATGCGTGCGTGCGTGCGTGTGTAATAATTAATAAATGGGCCCCATTTCCCATTTTGATTATTTATTTTATTTACTCCACAAAAAAATTATCTTCTGTTATTAATCTATAATAATTATTAATTTTAACGCGAGAAAAGACATTTACGTTTGTGTTAGACGACAAAATAAAAAAAAAAAAACTCATTTTTACTCATTTGAGGTCATTAAAAATAATAATAATAATGATGATGAGAGAGAGAGAGAGAGAAAAGAAGATCGTGTCTTGAAAGAGGCGCGACAAAAGTTACGCAATATTTTTTTTTTTTATTTTTCAATCCTCCATCGAATTAAATGATGATGATGATGATAATAATGCCCGATTAATTCCTTCAAAATTTATCGATAAGTAAAAAAAAATTATTATTATTATTATTATTTCGTCCCGAAAAAATTAATTTTCGATCCCATTCATAAAACCCTTCTCGTTATTCGCGGGGGGGAAGGGGAAGAGGAGAGAGGAGGCAAAAATGATTATTATGCCATGATTTATGAAAACAATAAAAATCAGAAGACATCTTAAATCTACAAACATTTCCTAATCCATTAATAATAATAATAATAACTTTTACCATCATTAAAAAATTATCGAAACTCACTGAAAAAAAAAGAAATCAAATCACGTCTTAAGCTAATCTTTTTTATTTAAATAATAATAATAATAATAAAATTTCACTTGTCATTTCTATGACCGAGTTAATACATATATAAAGTACTATATACTATATTATACTATAATAGTCTATAATAGTTTAATTTGAGAAAACCTAATCATAAACGAATTTTTTTTTTTTTTTTTTTTTTTAATATATACATGCATGTAATATAGCCTCGTACCTAAAATTAATCAATCACGACAACTTGAAGGTTGACTCTACCTAAATGGTGTTATATTTTTTTTTTTTTTTTTTAAAAACATTTTCGATTCACATTTAACATTTTCTCTGTAGGTTGTTGTTGTTGTTGTTGTTGTTTAGGTTTGTTGTTTTATTACATAAAAAAAAATTTTTCCCCTCAAATTTATGCTCTAATAGGGAGTGGGAGGGAGGGGGAAAAGAAACATTCGAGTAAAATAATAAAAAACATGTAATGTAATATAAGGTAATGGAATTTGCTATCGTTATTATTATTATTATTATTATTATTATTATTATTATTATTATTATTATTAATAAATTTTTTCCTTCTTTTTTTTTTTTTTTTTTAAATAGATTTCAATCTTTTCTTTAACTTTAGAAAAAAAAAAAAAAAAAAAAAATTCACAATGACGTAATGAACGTAATTTTATTGATAATACAAAACTAACAAAGTATATTATATACACGCTTTCATTATGTGCTACATGCGTGATTGGAATCAAGATGACAAAACGTATTATTATTATTATTATTATTATTATTATTTGCACTGTATTCAACAGATAAATATTACTTGAAACATCAAAATCAAACGATGCATTATTAATAATAATAATAATAATAACCGATAAGAAAATAACAAAAAAAAAAATAAATAAAAAACAAAAATAAATAAATTGATTTCATTTTAAAAATAAATTTTTTTTTTTTTTAAACCGCGATAATAAATATTTAAGCAAGCCGCCATTTTGAGCCTTTTTTTTTGTGAAAAACACCCACGAATGCCATCGTCAAATTTTTAAATAATTTATCGTTTAAAAAAAAAAAAAAAAAAAAAAAAAAAGGGAAAACTTTGTACAAAACTTCAAAAAGATTTCATGTCGTGGAGGACGATGACCATTTTGGTACTTATTAAATTATTAACGATAATCAATTTGATTATTTATCGATCAATTATTAAATATCGATTATAACAAAAAAAAAAAAAAAAAACGACGATATCGTTTTTTATTTATTGATATTAATTCAATCCTCTTTTTTTTTTTTATAGGGAAATCCTTGGAAAACTTTTAACTTTTTAAATTTATTTATTATTTTATGGAAAATTCTTTGATGGCGTCTTGATGGAGTTGATTTGAAGTTTAATTTAAGGTTTGTCGTAAATAAAACAAACATAATTTCTGTTTTTTTTTTTTTTTTTTTTTTTTTGTTTTGTTAACTGTAAACAAACATGATAACTACGATATTTGCAAAACCAGTCGAGATGCAACAACAAATTCTCAAATGATATACATGCAAGGAAATAAATTTTATAGTTTGTGTCAGCTACATATTACTGTTATCTTTGAAGGTCGATTATAATATTTTCCCTTTTAAAAAATAAAAAAATAAAATGGCGCTTGTTTCCAAAATAAAACCATTAGGTACGACTTGAAGACTAAATAAAAAAATTTTCCATTTAAAATTATACCAGTCAGTCAGTCAGTCAGTGGAATGGATTTCATGGAACGTTGTACGTAATCAATTCCAATTCGATAATTAATTATTATTATTATTATTATTAGCAACACTTGAGTTCTTCGATTTCCAAGAAATTTATTTTATTTTATTTTATTTTTTTTCCACATAAAAATAAAGTTTTAAATAACAAATTATTATTAATTATTTAAAGTTGTAATTTCCGGAATGAAAGTACCTACGAAGTAAAATTTTTTTTCCTTTTGAAAATTTTCAAAGGAATCATTTTTTATTAACAACAATCGTTTAAAGGTTGCATTAAATAAAAAAAAAAAAATCAAATTTTATATTTCCTGGGTGTTGTCGTTGATTGAAAATTAAGACTTGATTACTTAAAGTCCTTCACTTATTATAAAAAAAAATTTACGAAGAACATCAGGTTCGAGTTTTTTTTTTTTTTTTTTTGGACATGTAATTGTTAGTTTTCTTTTTTTTTTTTTTTTTTTAAAAAAAATCAGGTCGTGGTGACGCCCCAAAATTGCGAAAAACAAATCAGGTTCGATATATTTCCAAGATATTTTAAAACTGATTAAATTTGCACGTTAAGATAATCAAAAAAAAAAAAGAAAAAAAAAGAAAAAGAATTGATATTATTTACCTTGATTTTCATTGAATAAAAAAAAAAAAAAATTTTTTTTTTTATGATTAATAATTAAAAAACAAAAGTAAATAATTACAATATGGAGTTTTCCTAATAATAACATTCATTATGGAATATGATAAAGTACAATGTCTTTGTTTTTTTTAAAAGATTTAAAAATAATAAACAAAGCATTTTATTTTTTGAATTATATTTAAATATCTTACTTTTCTCCCTCCCTCCCTCCCTCCCTCCCTCTCCCCCCGCCTTTATGTATATTTTAACCGATTATCAATATTTTTATAAAAGAATTGATTATAAAAAGAGTCAACTGTTTTGCCAAGATTTTGCCAAGTGCAAAAAAAGAAAAAATAATAAAAAACTACAAAATCACGTTTTTGTGATCAAATTTTTTTTTTTTTTTGTTTGTAAAATTAAACACACAAGCGTGATTTTAATGTAAAAGGAAATCACAATGCTTGGGTAATTATTATGTGACCAAAAAAATAAATTCCTAAAATTTAGTAAAACATGAAAAAATTTTAACTTTCTAAAAATTAATTTTTTTTAATTCCTTCCTTAAATAAATTAAATAAATAAATAATAATATAAAAAAAACTAACGTTATCATATTTTAGCCTTATAAACAATTAGTTTTGAATGTGTGTGATGAAATGATTATAAAAAATTTTTTTTTTTTTATCGTTTTAACCTTTTGTTTAAAAAATTTAATAGAAAATAAAAGTTTACTTATTATTATTTATTAGTATCTATTATTAGTTATATTATTATTAGTTATACTATTATTTATTATTATTTATTAGTATCTTAATATTTGATTGATTTTCGTTATTCATTTTATGTAAAATGTTTTTAAAAGAAAACTTTCGTTAATAATTTTTTGAAAAAATTTTATGTTTGAAAAAAATATAACATACTTCCTTATTTTTTTTTTTTTTTTACTTAAATGCCTATGAAAGACAATTCTGTTAAGGCAAAATTAAATTTTGGATTCCATCCTTTCTGCTTGGTATTTTTTAAAAAAAAAAATATATTTAAAAATAATCGATTAGCACAAATTTTAAAGAATCCGATTTCACCTTTTATTAATTAACAGAAATACAATTCTATTTTATTTTCAATAATGTTTAAATTATTATTTAAATATGTGTGCATTCTCTATTAATTTAATAAATGAATCACTTATATATAAAAAAAAAAATTTATAAATAAAAAATTAAATTAAAAAAAGCAAATGACTAATTTCCGTTAAGGACATTAAAGATCCATCACAGCCTGTCTGTCTATTTTTTTTTTTTTTTTTACTCAATTTTATATTAATTATTAAACTTTATTTTGATAAGGAATTTATTTGTTCATTGTAAATAATAAAACGTTTTAAAAAATCATCAAGTTTAAAAAATAAAAAACAAAAAGAAATTCGATTACATATTAAAAGAACTTTCTATTTTATGGAAAAGTTTAAAGTTTTACAATGGAGTGACATAACAAAAATGATTTACAATTTAAAAAAATATTTTTAAAAATTTACTTACCCCCAAATTTTAATTTTTCTCCATCTTCGACAGGAATGACTAAAAGAGGGAAAATTCCACTAAGGCCCACTAACATAGAACCGATTAAAGAAAAAATCCATGGACAATAATTAACACTATTAAATAATTTTAATAGAAATTCTGGTAAAGGAGTTTCAGATAAATCACAAAAAACATTATCAAATTTATTATTTTTTATAAATGAATAATTGGATATTTCTTCGTAAAAATTCATTTTAGACGAAATAATAATTTAACACGAACGTAAATGATTTTATTTAAAATTGCGCTATGTAAAAACTATTCCGTTCCATTCACGATTTAATAAAATTAATTATTTTTAAAATTCTAAGAGCGACAAGTAATGACTTACTCAAAAAATTTTACAGAAATAAGTAAGGTTTTTTTTCATGCTGAAATAAATGCGACACAACAATTAATTTTACTTGTAATTTTTAAAACACTAATGAACAGAGCTCACTTCTAGTATGTACTGTGTAAATTATAAATGTTTCTCGAAGGAAATGAGTGAATTTGATAAAATTCGAGATCGATTCGATATATCAAGCAGAACTCCGAGATAACGCTTAAGTATTGATTCGTTGGGGTATTAAGGAGGTCGCGTTAAAAAAAGTAAAACACTATGGCCGACATAAACATGGCTCCTTATTGTGCACATAACTTCAATTAGTTTTTTTTATTTATCTATTTCGTTATAAGTATTATTTTTTGACTGTTTTTAAAATGAATAACTTTTTAGAGTATAGTAAATATAAAAAAATGCTTGTATATTTTGTTTTTAACAAAAAAATCAAGGGAAATGACGTCACACGGAAATGAACGTCATTTTAAAATGGCAGCTGAACTACAAATGTTTTTATTCCTATTCAAATCGAAATATCGGAAAAAAAGTGACAATATTGTAAAAAATGTGTGGTGCTTAGTGGTTATTTCAATATGTGTTGTGAGTGTAGTTTGTTATAATGAATGTCCAGAAAATTCATGTAGTGGTAATGGAAAGTGTGTGAATGGAACTTGCTTTTGTTATGATGGATGGCAAGGTCCTAGCTGCCAATTTTGTGGTGGTAAAGTAAGGTAAGCTTTAAAAATGATTTAAAAAAACTTTGGGCATTTTTAC